ATAATTCAAAAATTTAGATAAGAAATTTAACAACAAGTATATATATACATACATACATACATACATTAATACATAAGTATATATATATATATACTTGTTTGAATTTCAAAATTTGTATTCATGTATATATATTTATATATATTAAAGTTCTCCCATAAAACTAGAAGATGTTTAATGCACCACTTTCCAAAGAAAAGTGGTGCATTAAATACACATGGATTAATAGAGAGCAAAAATATCACAATAAAAATAGATAAATTCAAATTATGTACTTTGATACAAATAAATAACAAAATTAAGTACTTAATAACCCTACATTTTTTAGTGTGTACTTTTTGCCAAATAAATCTAATTTGATGTACCCCTTACAATTTACCCTTTTAAGTACATCACAAGCCCACAAAAGAAAAAATTAAATCCATTAAATTTTAAGCCCTACAAAAAAGTCCCAAAAAATTAAATCTAATAAAAAATTTTGTTACAATAATTTGGGCCTATAATCTAATCCATAACATTAAAAACTTAGAAGTTAAAAAAATAAAAAAAAACTCAAAAGTTAACTCATATTTTCTCTCTCTCTCTCCAGTAAAAAAAATAAAAAACAAAAATAAAAGCTGAAATTAAACACTCTTTCTCCCTCTTTGTGGTAAAAAACAAAAATAAAGATTGAAATCTCTTTCTCGACAATATTAACACATCATTCTTTTGTCTCCCTCTCACATAGAAAATTAAAAATAAATTAATTTTTTAAAAAATAATGCTAAAAATAAATTACCTCCATTTAATATTTCCACTTAAGGCCTCAAATTAACTTGAACCGCTCCTGCTGAAGACACTATACAATATAAACGATTTTGAAAGGGATTGTTGGTGATTGTTAGAGGAGTCTATTTGATACTATCGGATGAACTTATTGAAATTTGTCATATTTAATATTATAGATAATAACTTTATTTTGATGCGACAAAATTCTGCAAAGAGAAAATTAATAATTCAAATACTCCATTTAGCTCTATTTCTCGTCGACAATGTAACATAGTTTTTGGCAATGGATGCCAAACATGAACCAAATGACCTAATACAAATTCTCCAACAGTTTAGTGAGAAAAATAATGAACCCCAGATTATACAACCACCAAGTTTGTTGTGTGTTATTTGTAATTTTTTTTTTCTTCCTATTCATCTATGAAACAATTAGGATTATGAATTTTTTAAAAATTGAGGAGTCTGTAACGAACGTCCTTAAGATATTGAAGACTCTTAATTTTGATGGGCATGGTCCAAGTCAAACTCAAATCACAGATGTAGCCCAACAAAAGCTCAGTCACAATTTCAACTGACCAAGCCTACCATCCTGAAATACCTAGTCTAGTACTAGCACATGTGAGAGTCACCATTTTAAGAAACGGAAACCGTGCAACGCAGTCATCGGGGGGTGCACATCGTCAAGTTCACGAAATCACCTTGCCCGTTACAAAAATGATGACAGCCTCACGGAACCACCCCGTTTCTGTTTATAAGAATGACGCCTCAATCAAGACTCCCCTCAGAGCCGTTATGAAACTTTACTCATCTATAAATTGTAAAACCCAATATACATATGGGGGCATCACTAATCTCTCAGCACTCTACACACCTTGAGTAATAAAACTCTCTGCCCACCGTACCCATTCCCTATGGAGTAGGTTGCTCACATTGAACTACCTAATCTGTGTGTTTGATTGTGTTGAGTATACCCCATCACATACTCCCCTATATACTTAAGAGTGTGTTTGAGATGACATATGAAATCCAAAAAATATTTTTTTAATAAATGTTTATCAAAAGTGTTTATAAGAAAAACATTTTTATTAAATAAGTATTGTTTGGATATTCAAAATTTAAAATACTTAAATTAATGTATTTTATAAAAAACTCGTTTAAATATGAAAATATTTATTTGTGTCACAATTGTTAATACATTGAATGCACATATACAAACATACACTACACATATAATGATACACACAACAAATATATCATACACAAAAATGGCATATTAATAAATGTATCATACGAAAAAACTACATAGTTTAACTATTTCAATGATATACTAAAGTCACAAAACACTTGTTAATAGTAAATACAATCAAAAATCATGCTTGATTGTCCCTTAGAATTGTTAAAACAATACGTTCTCTCTTCCCATACATTGGATTTGTATATGAAAAATCAATATCCTCTTCAAAAACAGTTTGATTTACATTGCATTCCTTCTCTAACTCCACATCTTTATTAGCATACCTTGCAAATAATACGTTTCTGATGCCATGAAACCTAGTGTAATTGTGGCAAGTCATGTAGGCAACAACAATAAACATTTGCTTAGCAAAATCAAAACTAGGCATTTGCTGTAAAATTGAAAATATTTTCTTTAATACTCCAAAACATCTTTCAATCACATTCTTTAATGAAGAATGTGCATGATTGAACAACTCCTCCTTCCCATAAGGTCTTCCCCCTCTACAAAATTAGAGTAGATGATATCTCGTTTCCTTATGAGGAGTAAGATAACCATTAATATTAGAGAAGTCAGCGTCTACCGCATAATATTTTCCTAAAAAAACAACAAAATCATTAGTTATTCTATGTAGTTAAGAATGCAAAAAAATTAATCAACACATTCTTTACTCATACCTGGAGGTAGTTTTGGAAAGTTTAAATATCTATTATGAATGCAATGTAATAGCACTCCGAACTCATGAGTCGTTCCTTCCCACCTAGCATTGACAAATATGAAAACCATGTTAAAAGAACATGCTGCCAAGACAGTCTGCATGCATACTATCTTCCTACCTCTAAAAGGAATCTATTTTGAAGTAGAAGCATGAGTGCTAACATGTGTACCATCAATTGCCCCAATACAATTTTTGAAATATGGATATTATTTGGTATTCAATATGTGAGGGATGCAATTAAAATTTTGATGAGGCTTGATGATTTTCATTGAAAGTTTGATCATCCCTAATAAAACATCATTGAAATGTCGACTTATTGTCTCCCTAGAATGTTGAAATTGCTCTTACATCTTTCTATTTCACTCATTGTGACCAATAGTGATTAAAAATATAACTAGCTTCTCTTGACTTGACACATTTCTGTTATCACGCAATAAGTTAGTTTCTTTCATTAACTCGCACAATGAAATAAACACATGCTTTTCCATTCAAAATTGTTCAAGGGATACACGATCATGGCCATTAAGAATATCTAACACATATTGATGACCGGTTAGGACAGAAGTCCTACATAACATTTTTCTCTTGCGCATTACAGCCTGTTTTCTCAAAAGTTGTATGCCAAGTATGGCAAGGCATATAGTTTTCAGATTCATTCTGCACAACACATCCAAAGCAATGAAAAAAATATAAGCATTGACATTTAGATAAATTCTAGTAGCATATGTCTCCAAGAGTCCAACATATACATCAATATAATAAAAATTCAAAAGTCATCAAAACAAAAGCCCAACTATTATCATCACAATAAAGCTTTGTGTTCAAATAAAGTCAAGTAACCAAATAGTCATAGTAAAGAGTAGTGTTCAAAACAAACAAAAAATTTGAAACTTTATCTAAAAAAAACACCTAAACAAGTCCACTTTTGAAAAGACACCCTATTAACTAGTGTTCCCTCCGTCCCTCATATACTCCAACATGCAACTCCAACACTAGCTTCAGGCAAATTTACCCATGTTTTCCTGTTGATTGTTCTCGAAAAAAAACAAGAGCATGTCAATACAACAAGCTACCATACGGAATAAGTTTGTGAAGCTATTGCATGCATTCCTTGATTGTGGATGACGTTGGTGCAACAGTGCTATGTATTGTCTTGCACAACTCTGATAGTTGTTTGTCCAATCGTTCTCTCCCACTCACTTTTCAACGGCGCTTTGAAGATGTAGACCCATAACGTTCATGATATACCTGACCATCTAAGTCACTACCTTTCTCTCTTGTTGGTCCAACTCTATCGCGAATTTGACTTTCATAAGGTTTGTCCAAATCTAAGTCATGATAGTCACCACACTGGCTTTATGAGCAAATGCAGGGTGGGTTCCTTGTGAAGGAGCCCATGAATGCTCCCCAGTTGCAATTGTACCACCAAAAACTCTATCTAGCATGTCAACAAATGAGAGTAATTTCTTACGAAATTCCTTACAATCGAAGTTTACTTGTGGTGAAGGAAAAATCATGACCATAAATTTAAATAATTAACTCCTGCAATATTTAAATTGACCTAATTAGATGTTACGTCAACAAATATATTTCATATCTGGTCATCACACAAGACACCTCCTGTTATAGGGTGGTCAATAGTCACTCCAGTATGATTAGTCAATTTATGACATGACTTACATGCATCCTTAGTAATAGCAAAGTGATTCTTCAATTGTTTTCTGTCATACATGACATTTTCCTTTACTGCAAACTCATCTATAATATTCTTCCAACTTCACTTGTTAAACCTAATAGTTGACCGATTCCCTTTATCTACCTCTTTAACACATAACTCAAAAAAAATCTTATGTCTCTCCACAATCCAATTTATTTTGTCTTTGCATTCTTAGAACCAATGTTATCAGAACCGAATAGGACATTGAATTGACAGAGGGACCGGGTCAATAGTTCACTGGTTCAACCATTGGGTCAACTAATCAAACCAATCTTATAATAAAAAAATAAAAAATAATAATTTTACTAAAAAATTCATAATCACTATAAAAAAATAAAGTGTAATTTGTGTGTGGTATACTAAAGTGTGTTGTCTGGTGTACTAAACTAAAGTGTACTAGCTGGGTAATGGGTATTGTGACTATTGTCAATAACTCTGTGTGAGCGTGTAGACAAAGCGAGAGAGAGAAAAAGGCACAGTCTATAACTCTTGTGTGTCTGCGTGTAGATGGAGAGAAAGAGAGAGAGAGAGAGAGAGAGAGAGAAATACCTATTACCCAACATCTCTTACTCTTCCTCTTTATCTGATGAAACATCTCTTATCAAGCAGCACAAGCCAGTGAAGTAGCGATACTTCCTCCCCTTTCTCTTGGCGCAGCACGTTGTGTTCTTGTTGGGGATCCCAACAGCTTCCTGCAACAGTTATCAACAAGGTAGCTGGAACCTTATTGTACAGTAGAAGCCTGTTTGAGAGGTTCCAGGTGTTGAGATCTGATGGACCAGAGGCAACGATCAAATGGACTGTAAAAAGTGAGGAAGAAATGGAGTGGAGAAGAAGAAGGGACCGACTAGATTTAGGACAAAATTAGGAATTTTGGGCCATTTATAGAAATGGCATAGAACCGGCCGGTTTGGCAAAACCATCCGGTTCACAGTTTTTTGTCAAAAATCGGTCGGTTTGATGGTTTTTCTCCGGTTTAATTGCCCAAGCAATCCAATCCAAGAACCGAACCAGCTGAGGTTCCGGTTCATGGTCCAACCAGTTGAACCGGCTGGTCCGGTCCAGTTCTGATAACACTGCTTAGAATTATTAAAAGTCATCTAAAGTAACATCACAAAATACATAAGGTTGTTAGCACAACGAGTATAATAATAACTAACATGAACAAAGCCTTGTATCAATTCCATACATCTTTTCTTCTACAACATGTGCATGATAGCCACAAGTGACACTAAGTTATTCTTCCATTGCTGATACAAAGAATTCAATGTACCATTCACCTATTCTGGTGTGACTAGCGAAGTAGCCATTCACCTATTTTAAGAGACTATGAAGAGACAAAGAATAAAAAAGGCATTACCCATAAAGAAAAAATCTAGTGACCAAGACAATTAAAAGTCTAAGATGTACAAAGAACCATGTTCCCTAATCCATGTCAAGGATACAATCATAAAATTATCACCACAATCTCTAATCCCAAAGTTTATAAAATCATAAAGTTGAGATGGACCATGCAGAAATGTTTTGATTCAAAATTTGAGTGGGTTCATGCGCTTTAGGTACAAGGGTTTAGAACTGCCGAGAATGGTTTAGGATTAGCTTGAACTGAAATATCATCTTTTATGTGCAATATGAACAAGAATATATATAAAATAAAGATCAGGAACGTAAAATTATTGATATCGTTCAACAATGTTTGAGTACATTCAAATTATCACATCATAATTTGTAAATTATGCACTCAAATTGTCATCATGTCCTTCATAGATAGCATCTTGATCTAGAAACAGAATAATGCACATAGGATTGATTTTTTACTTTTGGCTAATAACAAATTCAAAAAGAAGAAAGATATAACAATATGGACAAAATCCAAAAATGACATGAAGACAAGAAAACTATTAAAATATCAAATAGTATAACGTAAACAATCAAAAGGTAGTGCAGTTGGAAAAACTATTATTCAAGGAATCATGTGCATCAGATGGAACATACAACAAAATTTTAATCACCAAAAGCATAATATTAATGAACCAAAGGTTTTATAGCCCTGCCCAAAGATATACGCATGAAGTACTTCTATTCAACCAAGATTGTTAACACTCTTGAACATCCAGCTCCTGAAAGGATTTCAAATTATTAAATGATAAGAAAACAAATTTCACCCGTGATTATAATTTACTAGCTATGTCACCCTCTAATTGCATGGCCCCCTCACTCCTACAGGGGCATGAACAGTTGCATAGACGAAAAAATTTATATCAGCTCCAACGAAATGATATATCCTGCTAGATTCCAATAGCAGAAGGAAATAAAGTAGCCAAAGAATCACACCTGACCAACCCATTTAATAAGTAGTCTTCCCTAACCAGAAAAAAAAAAGAACAATCACTCTTCCTAAATTTGGAATTGCCTCATGTTAACATTCCTCTTATCCTATACATAGTTTCTATGACTCGAACCTTTAACATCCAAGTATCAATGGAGCAACTTTACCACTTTCAAATATTAAAGTAGAATGATGGAGGAAGGAAAAGACACCACAACAAGAAATGGCAGACGAGATGAACTGCACACCAATTGTTACAGAGGGGTCATCTTTTATAAACACCAAGTTGCATAGGATATTTCAGCATATTTTACGATGAGATTTCAGAAAAAATTATTATGCTACATGAGTCCTACAAACTAGTTACAAGTTAATCAAACTAAAATTGGCAATTCGAATTCTCTTTCACATTTCTAGGGCTCACAAGGCTAGTTTACATCTAGTCAAAAAAAAAAAAAAATCTCAACTTCTTGCGGCTTTTATTTCAAAGACTTGCATTAGTATGCATCCAAATGTATATTATACCATAGTCAAGCACTACCACATAAACGAGTAACCCACCATCATTAGAATCAAACTATATGACTATCTGTTATGTTATTTCCAATTAACACCAAAAAATGTTAACTCCAATCAAATTCTACAAACTTGAAATTCTAAGAATTCAATTCTTTGTAATATAACAATGATTGTCAATTCCAAAACCTGAACCAACTGCAGCCTTACAGAAATGATCAGATAAATCAACTCTTACGAGTCTCAAAAGAAAACAAGCCCAAACTTCAAATGTCACCTTGAGTACATTAGAAATACCAAACACAAGAAATACCAAAAAAACCATGTTTGAGAAGCCATTGACTCCGAGCAATGTGGGTAAGCTTAACCGGCTTGTCATACCCAAACAAGAAGGGTAGTGGACCAACACACAAGCACAAATCAAATCTAAATTTTCTAAGAGACATTTTATCAAACAGATTATAGGAATGAGCAATCCATTAACTAGGGTTCCCAAAAGAGTAAACAAAGAGATGAATAGAGAGAGAGACAAATCTATCAAATATATTCCACATAATATACAAATCTGAGAAAACTCAAACGAAATAGAAGTTGAAAGATGGAAAAATAGACAGTTCATACGTGTTCGAAATGGACTAAGATCTCCAATTACTCTAGAAGAATGAAGATCGAAGAGAGAACAATGTTGTCACGGCTGCCAGTGATCACCTAACTCTCCGGCATCGTCGTCGATGGTCACCAAAGTGGGAGAAGTTCTTCAGTCGTTCACAGCAGAGGGTATGAAGAGAGTTGTGATGGTGAAGAAAAAACGTTAAGGTAAAAGTGATTGGCTCAAGTGATTTTGGATAAGTAAAAAAGCTTTATTTTTTAATTTTTTTTTTTAGACGTACTTAAGTGATAAAATGGTTTTTTACTTTTTTAAAATTACTTCTACTAAGTAATTTTTTACACTATTTTTTTTTTCAAAATATTTATGATAAATCAAAAGTTCAAAAAAAAAAAATATTTAAATCAATCCAAACACACTCTTAATTGATTTTGTATTAACATTTTTATACATCATCAAATTCAATTTTTACAAATCACTTAGCAACTCATATATATCTTTTCATTAGAAATAGACTACATATAACCTTAGTACATAAAAGAATTGGTTGTGTGATTGTGCAAACCACCAAGTCCAAATGCACTCAGCCATGCCTTTTTGGAAATATAATTAGTGGCTGGAGCTGTGGCTCAACTCTAAAAAATTGGAATGACAGGGCTTGTTATTGCAATTTCAAGCGGAAAAAATAGTTAGGTAGGATGTTAATTATGCCCATCTCGTTGAGCTCTAGAGTGTGCTCAAATTCGATTGGTTGTGATAGACCAAGTTTTAATTATTGAGCTTTGATTTTTCATCAAGTTTTATTCGGCATAACTTGTCAGCAATCGAGCTAAAATTTTCATAAAACAATCTAATAATTTACTAATCAATCATGAAATAACAAAAAAAATTAATTTGTAAGTAATTATAAAATCAAAATCATAAAATTAGAAATCTATTGAAAAAGAGGTAAGCATATATATGTTTTGGACATAAACTTCAAAGCTATATAGACAAAAATATATTCAAATTGTAATGGAGTTAGTTTTTTGGGAGAATTACATTCAGATCTTTTGAAATGTTATTTAATCACTTAAATTTTTTGATATTTTAAACTTGAAGAGTCTAAGTATTACACGTTTATAAATTTCAGGGATTTGAGTGTAATATATTAACGGACATTGCCAACAGGGTCTAAGCGTTACGCGTGTACAAACTTTAGAAGTTTGTGTGTAATATTTTAAATATTAGGAGTCTGAGTGATTAAGTGATAAATTTCATAGGGTTTTGGTGTAATTTTTCCTAATTTTTTTATTTCATCTGACGCGAGCAGGTCGGGTTGGATGGTTTAAACCACCCATGAACCCCAGGTCGCGGAGGATGGTAACTTCATCTTGGCAAACACTTTTTCTCTGATAGCAAGTGCAACCGAAATACCAGCACTTATCCGAAGCGATGGCGGTGGTCCTCCGTTCCTCATGCATCCTCCCCCTACCGGACTGCGGCAACTTTTCTCGCAAAACATCGCCGTCCGACCATTCCTCCAGTCGGTGACTCTCTCTTTCTACTGGCATAACTTACCTCCCTTTAGTTTTTGCTTTTTTATTTTTTTAACTACTCATTTTCTTTGAACGCAAATCACTTAGTTCCATTTCGGAAGAATGTTGAGTATCTGCCTTCAATTTCTGTTTATTTACCGTTATTAAGTACAGAATGCTCATAATAATCGGCTTGATTAGTTCTTGTTTTTTCTTTTTTTTTTTTTTTTGAAGAATCGTCCTTTACTTTCTGTTTGCTCGGCGAGAAAACTGGGGAAATTGCATGGGAAAGAAATTAGAAGTTCGAATTCTCCACGGTTTTAATCTAATGAAACGATTAAGCTCGATTTGGAACTAGGAATTCATCCATTTAGCTGATCTGGAAAGGCTCTAAATGTCATAAGCCATGAGACTGAGGCTTATGTCCGCAACTAAGAAGAAGATAGGGAAAAGGCGAAGGAACTATCTCAATCTTAAGGTTCACTCTTTAAAAGCCTCTCTAAAAGGAGCAATGACATTCCTGTGCCTAAGGAGAACGATGGAGAAACATGATATATATAGCCAACACCTCAAATAATTGGGATAAAAGCTTTGTTGAGTTCGAGTTGAGTTGTACATAAGATCAGTTAAGCAATTTAGTTTTGTTGCTGAATACTTGTAAGTCCATGTAAGCTGCAAGGGGTGGTGGAGCTTACAAATAGCAAATTAAATGTCTAATAGCTTACTAGCACTTGCTTAACAGAACTCATGATATTATTAGATAAACTAAAATGATACCCTGTAGTTAGGCATAAATATGGGGACATCCCTCGTACCCTGTTTTAGTTTAATCACACATTTCATACAGCTACCTTGTCATGATGGATTGTTCCTAACAACTATGCAATCCAAGATTACCCCCACAATGCATCTCTTTCATATCAGCTGTTCAAATTTCTGGAATAAAATGACCTCATTTGTTAATGCTAAAGGGCTATAATACCCTTTTGCAGTAGCCAGCGGCATGCTGCCTTGTCACTGCTCGAGTAACAATTATGGATATGCCAAAAGCCATCTGCATATTTTCCAATAACAAAAAAACAAATAACCTACTGGAATGGGAGAAGAGGATTGCATTGCTGAACTAGTATAGTTATTGATGATGCACAAATTAGTTCGCACACCGCTAGTCAAGTTATAGTATAAAATGCAATAAATAGAAGGGGAGAGAAAACAAGATTTATAGTGGTTCGGTCAATACGATCTACGTCCACTTTGAATCGTTAGGTTCGCCGGAATTTTATTATCTCCGGTGTGGAGGGAGAGCACATGATTACAAGCTTTGAGAGGTGAGAAGAGCATTATACTCAAATGAGTCTGATGCCCCCCAAGTGTTGGGGAAGCTTACAATTTATAGTGGTTTGGTATAGTAATTGTATGACTAGTCTGACGGTCATAATGGCTTAGGGCTGTTTGATAGTGATTAGGTAGCTGATCTGGCGGAGGCGACCTATCATCTTCTCAACGGGCGAGGTGTCACGGGTGGTGTGCTCTCCAAAAGACTTGTTCAAGGATGAGGGAGGTTGACTCTCTCCAGGCTACAAGGGTGAAGCTCCTGGATGCTCCCTTGGTGGTGAGGGTGAGGCTCCTGGATGCTCCCTTAGTGGCGTAGAAACTCTTGGATGACCCTTACTCTAAGGTGGTAGAGAAGACCCTTGGATGACCCTTACTCTAAGGTGGTAGAGAAGACCCTTGGATGACCCTTACTCTAAAGTGGTAGAGGAGGCTCTTGGATGACCCTTACTCCAAAGTAGTAGAGGAGACTCTTGGATGACCATGCATGTTCCCCTGCAGCTCCTTGATCTTAATAAGGTTATTCGGGTGTAGACTTCTTTGGACTTGACTAGTTGGATCTCTCGACATTGGGCCTTTAGCTCGAACTAGGCTTATAACATGGGTTGGGCCTGGCCCATCATTTGCCCCCCAATGCCCTGCGTCCTACAGAATTTGGAAAGGAGGGCATTTAAGTTGAATTTGAATTTTTGGCTGACCGACATAATTGAAAAAACTTCAGGAGGCCAAAACATCCATTTATAGGCCTTTTTTGGACTTTCAACAGCATCAATCACAGCTAAAAGCTGTGAATCTTGTAGGGTTCGCCGAGAGCTTCGATTTGATATATTATAAGCCTCATTTTAAACAACGGAGCAAAAGTTACTGTCAAAACTTCGAACCAGAGTTGGGTGCATGTTTTAGGCGAGCAGGCCACTTCTGGGCGGGCACATACTGTGCTGGGTGAGCAGAAAACCTCCCAGGCGAGCTGATTTCTTTTTTTTTTTCGAAAAAAAAAAAAAATTCAGAAAGCCAAAACACCTCTTTCTAAGCATTTTTTGGACTTTTTTTGAAAAGCTCATTACTTAAAGTAATGAGTTTTGCTCAGCTCGTCAAGAGTTTGATTTGGAATATAATATGTCCTGTTTTGAGTTACAGAACAAAATTTACAGTCAAAATAACGAGCAAAGAGTTGTGCTGGCAGCGTCTTGGGCGAGCAAAATTTTTTTTTTTTTTTTTTAAAAACTTCGGGAGGCCAAAACACCTCTTTCTAAACGTTTTTTAGACTTTTTTTGAAAAGCTCATTACCAAAGGTAATAAGTTTTGCTCAGTTCGTCGAGAGTTTCGATTTGGTATATAATAAGCCACATTTTGAGTTATGAACCAAAAGTTACGGTCAAAATAGCGAGTAGGGAGCCAGGGGCGCGTTTTTGGGCGAACAGCCAGCTTTTGGGCTAGCAGGCCGCTTCCTTGGCGAGCAAGCCACCTCCTGGGCGAGCATACAACCTCTTGGGCAAATTTTTTTTTTTTTTCCGAACAATGTCGAATAGTGAAGATCATGTGCTAAGGTCTGCAAATATTGGTGTGCAACTTGGAAATGTTGGTGTTGTCCCCTGGAAAAGAGATGGAGGTGCATGGCCTGTAGGACTGGCTACTGGGCGAAGGCTGGGCACCCATGTTGAGGAGGCAACGGAGGCCTTGGGTGAACGGGTTGCCTGGAGGCTGGCGGTCTAGGCAGCCTTGGTGATCTGGGCGAGCAAACCAGGGAGGCTCCTGCTGTGTTGGGCAGTCCTTTAGGCGAGCAGAGCTTGGGCGATCATGCCTTGGGCGAGCAGGACTTGGGTGCAGGCTATAAGGAGAGGTGTTGCGCAAGCACTTCTGTTGGTCAAGGATTAGGCGCCGAGGCCCAGGTGCAGGGCGCCGAGGCTGAGGCGACCCAGGCAAGCACGGAGCCCTCGAGCAAGTGGAACAACTCTGGGGAGTGCACCGATGGGCGCCTTGGTGCTGTTGTATGCGCGAACCAGCTAGGCGAGCATCCTGCTGTGCAGGGCCACTTGGGTGAGCAACCTGCTGTGCTTGGCATCTTAGGCGAGCATGGGTATGCCTTAGTCGCTAATCCAGGAGAGCAAGGAGGAGGAAAGAGGGCTGGTCTTGGTGTGCAGGCGCCATAGAGCACCATTTTAGGTGAGCACAAAGGGTTAGGTGCTCTTCCAGGCGCTGATAAAAGGGGTCAAGCACTTCTTGGCATCGCTGGTTAGGTGTCTCAGGCGTTGAGTGCTAGATGGATGAGGCTCCGATTGTTGACATTCAATCTAAGGTAATCCCTCGGATTGCAGACGACCTGAGTTTCAAGATCCTGGCTAGAGATGACAAAAATAATGTTATTCTAAATATTAAAATATTTAACATGATTACCTGAAAAGATAGGCAAGCTGCTTACGCGAGAGCAAGATAGAGTTTGAGGATTGCTCGTGAGAGAGCTACATCTTTTGAGACCGAGTTTTTGGCGACCCATGAGAGAGTTTTTAAGCTTGAGGTATAGGCTACTTGCTTGAGAGCATAGCAGATGTCAAGCTTTTTTGGCGACTCGTGAGAGAGCCGGGTGATAGACTGCTTGTTTGAGAACAGTGCAAAGGTCAAGCTTTTTGGGCGACCCGCGAGAGAGCCGCTAAGCTGGAGATAGGCTGCCTATTTGAGAACAGTGCAGAGATAGACAAGCTTTTTGGCAACCCTTGAGAGAGCCATTAAGCTGGAGATGGACTACTTGTTTAAGAACAGTGTAGAGGTAGGCCAAGCTTTTTGGCGACTCTCGAGAGAGCCGCTGGGGATAGACTACCTGTTTAAGAACAGTGTAGAGGTAGGCCAAGCTTTTTGGCGACTCTCGAGAGAGCCGTTAAGCTGGAGATAGACTACCTGTTTAAGAACAATGTCGAGATAGGCCAAGCTTTTTGGCGACCCTCAAGAGAGCCGTTAAGCTAGAGATAGACTACCTGTTTAAGAACAGTGTAGAGGCAAGCCAAGCTTTTGGCGATCCGTGAGATGATTCACCTCACCTGGACCTGTTGATTTCCTCAGCATTCATAAATTTTTGAACTTTTGCCAATAGTTCTGGCATGCTCTTTGGTGGGCGTTTCATCACGGAGAAAAGGAAGCTCGATGACCGAAGGCCTCCCAAGAAGGCGGTCATGCTGACTTTTTCATCGGGTTCTTCGACCTGAAGGACCTCTTTATTAAAACGAGTGAGGTAGCTTCGCAGGCTCTCATCTCGGTCCTACTTTATGCTGAGCAGGTGGGTGACAGGCTTCTGGTGACGACGTCCTCCAATAAAGTGCAACACGAAGGACCTGCTCAGCTCAGCAAATAAGCTGATGGAAGTTGGGGTGATCTTGGCGAACCACTGTCGAGCGGATCCTTTAAAGGTGGTTGGGAACGCTCTGCACATGATTTCGTTAGGGACGTTGTGCAGTTGCATCAATGTCTTAAAAGTTTCAAGGTGGTCCAATGGATCCTTTGTACCATCAAAGGCTTCGACGGATGACATCTTGAATTTTTGAGGGAGTGGGTAGTTCGCCACGTCAGGTTTGAAAGGTGTGTCGGTTCGACTTACAAGGTAATCCACTATCTCGGGTCCTCGTGCCTTCATGGCGTTGAAGACATCACCCAATTGATTCTGCACCTCCTTAATTTTTTCGTCCCAATGATTAGGAGGAGGTCCCTTGGAATTACCATGGATTTGGCTCCCATGCTCCAAGCCTTAGTTTTCACCCTCGTCCTCTTGGAAAAGAGGGTCTCTATCATGAAAAGAAGGAGCTGGAAGAGGAGGTGGAAGTCCCTTGTGGGGAGCTCCCCTGTGCGGGGCGCCTGAGGGGGCTCCAAAGGGGGCGCTTAGATGAGGAGCACCCATGTGGGGAGCTCCTTGACGCCCAGGGCGTGGAGTTCCTCTGACTTGAGGTCCAGGTTGTGCTCCTCCTCCTAGACGAGGAACGCCCATGTGGAGAACTCCTTAACGCCCAAGGAGCATTAGTTGTAGGATCTGTTGGTTCTAGGCCGCAAGCTGCTGCATGGTCTCGAGCATCTGCTACTCATTTGGGGCAGATTGGTTGGTTGAGGAGCAACCTCCTCCTCTCTTGGTGGTGGGTTATCTTCAGGCTGATTTATGGATCTAGATCTGGTGGTGATCGTCATTGGTTTAGCAAATAAAGTGTTTACAAGTGAGTATTTTGTCGTTTTCACAGACGGCGCCAAACTGATGATGCATAAATTAGTTTGCACACCACTAGTCTAGTTATAGTATAAAATGCAGTAAGTAAAAGGGGAGAGAAGACAAGATTTATAGTGGTTTGGTCAATACGACCTACGTCCAATTTGAATGGCTAGGTTCGCCAGAATTTTATTATCTCCGGTGTGGAGGGAGAGCACATGATTACAAGCTTTGAGAGGGGAGAAGAGAATTATGCTCAAATGAGTCTGATGCTCCCCAAGTGTTGGGGGAGCTTACAATTTATAGTGGCTTGGTATAGTAATTTTATGACTAGTCTGACGGTCATAATGGCTTAGGGCCGTTTGATAGTAATTAGGTTGCTGATCTGGCGGAGGCGACCTATCATCTTCTCAACGGGCGAGGTGTGACGGTTGGTGTGCTCTCCAAAGGACTTGTTCAAGGATGAGGGAGGTTGACTCTCTCCAGACTGCGAGGGTGATGCTCCTGGATGTTCCTTTGGTGGTGAGGGTGAGGCTCCTGGATGCTCCCTTGGTGGCGTAGAGACTCTTGGATGACCCTTACTCCAAGGTGGTAGAGGAGGCTCTTGGATGATCCTTACTCCAAGGTGGTAGAGGAGACTCTTGGATGACCATGCATGTTCCCCTGCAGCTCCTTGATCTTGATAAGGTTATCCGGGTGTAGACTCCTTTGGGCTTTGACTAGTTGGATCTCTTGACATTGGACCTTTAGCTCGAACCAGGCTTGTAACATGGGTTGAGCCTGGCCCATCAGTTATGATGATCATACAACAGCATGAACAACAACATCAGTTGTTGCTATTTATCCTATGAAAGTATGATTTTTGCTCAATATCTGCATACTACTGTGTTTCTTCTCTCCATGATTGATTGTGCAAAGTGCTTTCTCATCTTGGGTATAAAAAGTTCTGCTAATTGGTAAAAATTACTTGTTCATATCTTGAACACTGTTCTCTGTGGAAATTCTATTTTGGCAGCTTTTGTGATTTCTGCAAAACCAGGTGTTGCTTATATTCATTGTGTGAGTAGGGTGAAGCATCATCTCATACTTCAGAAATCATTACAATTTTTCAGGAATCATGACTTCTTTTCCATTGAAAGTGAAGAAATTCATAGCAACCTTTGGAAATACTTCCAGCAGATCATTTGAAAGTCACCAAGCATTGCTAGTCAGTAAATTTATGCATATGGAGCTGGATAAAATTAAGTTCTATATGCCAGGCCAAACTTGTGATCTTGCTCAAATGCGACCAGCTTCTGACACCATGTCAGACCCCTTTGCTTCCCATCAGGTACGATGGTGAGTCATTGCCTATTGCTAAGATTCCTTATTTTGCTGTGGCATTTAGCAATCTTCTGTTAAGGTTGCTAAAACTTGATATAAATGAATCCAATATTAACATTCAGAGAACTCCATTCGCTTAATGTAGATATAATAAGTTGTAATAAGTAACTATGCTAATATCTTCCAGTGGTAAGCCATTCTGTGGAATGCTAATACGTTCGAACTTCAAATGATGCGCATTGTGTTGGATGCGACATCCGGCCAAGAAGTTAAGGTTGACCAAATTTAAAAAGCTCAATTTGGTTAACTAGTGTCCTGCTGATTTTTTAATCACAATAACTGAATTGAAAGTAATTGTGAATCTAAAGTCTCCTACTCGATATGGTGTTCTGTACTTAATTGTTGATGATCACCAAATAGTCTGCAAAAGTATTAATTGGCTCTCCAGGTTAATCTTATCAAACACTGAAGGTTTAAGATTTGTTTCTATGGGAGTCAGTTTACGTCTTAAATGCTAGTCGGGAACATGACCAGTTGAATGGAGCTGGCAAATTGTTTGACTTTCTGTGAATGTGTATCTGCTCCTTACTGCTTTCTTATGTTTTTGTTTCCATTGCTGCCATTGAATTCCACCAGTATCTCTTTGGCAGGCAATAGTTCTCACCAGATTCCCGGCATTGGCACTTATTTTCACTAATGCCTTGATTTTATCTACACCTTTAGAAGCTCTGGCAGAAACATGCGAGGTCAATAAATCAGTTTTTGACATGCCCTTGCTGCTATTTGTTGCTCTTGTAGGAGCAACTGTTGGAGGTAAGGTACTCTATGCCCATGCCAGCCTTTAGTTCTGTACCTCTCAGTCATAGAAGCTAACAACATTGTGCATGACCTTAGAATTTAGAACGAGTTGTAGTGTTAGAATGTTATCTGTTTACTGCTTTGATGGCACTAGTTTTCCTATTGCATCATTCCTCTACAATTTTACATTGCCATGTTTGAAACAATCTAAAATATGCACATTTAAAAGACTCGAGTATATCCTTTCTTGATATATTATTTTGTTCTTCATGAAATATTTCCACGCATATTATTATATGTGTAGGGTTTTTCCATCTTGTTTTTCAACAATTCCATGTCATTTCCCTGATATTTAAATGCCTTGAATTGCAGGATTGCTTGCACGACAGAGGAGAGCAGAATTGGAACGGCTGAATGAACAGCTGCGCCAGATCAATGCAGCTCTGAGAAGGCAAGCTAAGATTGAATCTTATGCACCCAGTTTGAGTTATGCTCCTGTTGGTGGTAGGATACCCGAAAATGAGGTAATTGTTGATCCAAGGAAGCACGAGTTAATTGCTCGCCTAAAAAATGGGAAGAATTTTCTGAGAAATCAAGACCCAGAGAAGGCTCTCTTGGAATTTAAGACAGCTCTTGAGCTTGCTCAGAATCTAAAGGATCCAACAGAGGAGAAGAAGGCTGCTAGGGGTGTAGGTTTGTCATAAATCCTTTTCTCAAATTTTGACCTTCTGTCCATGTTTTATGTGATGATGTTCTTATGGGAACATGATAAACATAAAGTTGAGCATTTGCAGTGGTATATAATCTCAAACGGTACTTGGTTTTGTGAACTTATTAAAAGTAACATTGCATTCATGCTCTTCTAGTTCCCATCCTTGTTTTTTAAAACCGCCATTATAATTTCTTTGGACAGTGTTAGGGTTGCAAGTAAACTGAGCTGTTCATGAATAGCTAGGGTGCCAGACGGACTAGAGCTCATTAAAATGAACCATGCTCAAGCGCAATTTTAGGACTCACTTACTGAGCAAGCCGGGAATGAAAATGGCTTGTTCCACTCATTAGGCTTGTGGATAGATTAAGGCCTTTTATTAGTATATTTTGTAAAGGTTTTTATCGATATACATAAACAAGCCAAGCTTGATCTTAACATGAGTGAGGACTCAAGTTTAAGCCCGAACACAAGATTGAGCTTGGTTCGTTTAGTGGAGCTTCTTACTTTGGCTCCACTTTGATTTGGATTGCTAGAAAACGGTAAAACACAAGAAGAAATTATATTAAATGAAGTTGATATTTTACTCAGTAATTTCCCTGACAAACTCTTAGTCATGTTTATCTGTTTTATTTTTTCCCAGTTGGTTACGTAAGCTTTTTCGAGAACATGTTGTACATTTTCTCTGTATTATGCCATACTATCTTAAATATTAATGTAATATGGGATACATATATGTGTCTTACAGGAGCCTCGCTGCAAAGGCAGGGTAATTACCGGGAAGCCATTAAATACCACTCTATGGTTTTGGCAATTTCAAAAAGAGAAGGAGAGGATTCTGGAAACACAGAAGCTTATGGAGCAATAGCTGATTGTTATACTGAGCTTGGAGATCTGGAGCGAGCTGGGAAATTCTATGACCAGTATATTGCAAGGTTACGAACAGATTGAGCTCATAGTAGGGGACGGCAAGCATAAACATAGAACTTATCTTTATTTTCCAGAGGTTTCCTTCTCATAATGTAGTGAGGCTAGAATATTGAGTATGAGTTTTGTAGATGACGTGTGGATTAACATTTCCATGAAACAATCCTTTTTTGTTTTTTTGTAACCTTAACACCTTGCAAGTACGCTTTCTAATGAGTTATGGAACCACTACATTGGGCATGTTTGGAGATGGTTGAAAACTTTAGTTTTTAGAGGATTTAGAGAAAAAGAAACCTTATTCATTTTAACTCGGACTTATTGAGCAACTTTTTTATCAGCTTTTTGGACAAAAATAGTCTCGGTCAAAATGAAGAAAAAATTAATAAATAGGATTTATTTAAAGACTTTCAAGGAAAAGTTGATTTTTTTAAAAATATTTCAAACAATTTCAAGTATTTTTTTAATTCTAATTTATTAATTTCACTCTTCAAACCTCTGTTTTGTAATCATTGTAATTTGTGTGAGATCTAAAAGCATCTCCAACGCCTCTCACCATTGCAGCCTTTTAGCCATTTTGGCGAGTAAAACCCAAATTTGGTGTTTCTTCGTCCTAGCTATCCACCTTGCCAAAATTTAGAAAACCAAATTGCTCGCCACATTTGGAGAGGCTAGTCGCTCAGCCTGTCTTCCTTCCTCCACTTCTCCATTTCTGCACTGTGAATCGGTTTTCCTTCCTCCTTCAGGTATGTCTTCCTTCGTCCAATATATGTTTTCCCTTGTTTTCTATGAATCGGCCTTCGTTCAGCCTGACTTCTTGAAATTTTTGGAGATGAGTTTCTTTTAATTGTTCATAATATGTTTGATGAATTGCCTCAATGAGATATGCACTCGATTTATGTAGAATCATGTGTTAGTTTTTTATTATTGTTACTTCGATTTGGACTTCAACAATTTTATATCAATTCCTGTTCAAAAAAATAAAAAATTCATATTGCTTGTTCTTGTTGAAATGAACCGTGTTACAGAGATCTCAAGAGAAAAGGAACTATGGGTTGTGTCAAAATTCTGTATAATAATTTTCTGGCTTGCATCAAAACGAGAAATCAATCCCTTTGTTCTTCAGTTTCTTTGTTGCAGGATCAATTCTCTCCAAAAGCTGCTTTTCACAAGTAACAGAAGTAAGAGGTTTAGGTGGCAGCAAAACTCACACCAAGATGCATGCAATTATGGTATAAAAGTAATTAGATCATTAGGTAGTACACTCCATGTGTTCAGCCTCAAGTTTTTTGAGGTCAGAAGGAGTCTCTGTGGCAAAGTCTAATGCAATATATATAACCTTGTAGTCTTATGGTCAGTATTCTATGATTTTTGTTTGGTATGCCATCAAACTGTAAATATGATTTTGCTATTCTATATGATGAATTAACTAAATTTAGTTTTTGCTGGTGTTATGTATAGACGGATGCATGTGTTCTAAGTTACTGCCCTGCCACTAAAGGGGGTTGGAGTGTAGTTGGGGATAAATCTTTTATAGAGTTGAGTTCTGTTTAATGGTCATGTTGATGACAAATGAGTTCTGCCATTGCATCTAATTGAGATATTTTTCTTCATGTTTTTGTATATTTGTTTTGAAGTGGATTTACTTGAACATTCAAAGGTTTCACTCGTAAGAATCATGTTTTTCTGCTATGAACTTGCAATCAATTTTGTGTGGTATTATACTGGTTCTTTAAATGAGTAATGACCCTAGTATTGACAAGTAGGCAGAATATTCTTGTACGGAGATCATATTTTTGATGACATGGCACAACAAGTCATCATGTTCCATCATCATTATGATGTTTACGTGTTATATCACGTGATATTTTTGAAATATATTATTCAAAGTTAGTTAAAATTAATTAAAACAGTTAGTTAAAATAGAAAACGTGATTAGAGTGAATTTTAAAAAATAACTAGTTAAAGTAAAAAATTTAATATTTAAATATATTTTAAACAGTTATTTTGCTGAATGTTATTAGAGATTTTTCTAAGACTACGCAGTTGTTTTCCTATAAGCTGCCTGAACAAAAGGATGACCGACGAGGAATTTCAATGTACATATGAAATATCTTATTAGATTTCTCAAATTGTCCCGCAGTTTAAAAAAAATTATTTTCCTATTCCAATATCAGATTTATTATTAACATGAGATTACATGAATAAAAAATTATATAACCTGAACGTGACCTGAATAAAAAATAGCATTGCACTACCAGATTGACCCCATTAATTTTTGGCAAGGAGTTTTATTAGTTCCTCGTAGTGTGCTTCATCAAGCTAAGCAACTTCTACCTTCATCCAACATACGGTACTCGTAACTTACACCAGCACCCAAGGAGATTACTAAATAACCTGGTTTTAAGTATCTACTGTTATTGAAGAGGATCAATAACAGTATTAATCCCTACTGACTAAGAATCCATCAACTCAAACCACACCCAATTTAAGCTCAGGTGTCATCAACTACTCCCTAGGTGTTACTTACCTAACCAAAATACAAGATTGGAGGTCACAGCACGCAAACCTCTCCTCAGCAGGTACTCAATATCGAGTCCACCAGGAGAAAAAAAAATCATGAAAAAGTTGAGCCAGAGTATCAAGAACCACAAAACCAAAATATTTGCCAACATCTTCCAATCATAATAGCCAGTCCTATAAGAAACCCGAAAACAGAAAAAAACATACACAATATGTATCAATACATAGGGCAAGGGCAAGGGCAAGGGCAAGGGCAAGGGCAAGGGCAAGCATATCAAGGATGTGGAACAATCCTGATTTGAGTAAAAAGAGAATACGAAAATCTCCTAAAAAGTTTAAAATCTCACACTAGCTTGCAAAGGCAGGAGAATAAAGGCTTTCACCACATAAAACTCCCTCTTTATATTACTGGTAGTACATGAGCTGCTGGGCAGCAGCAACACTCTGGAAACCACCATCATATATGGCCTGGCTTGCCCCAGCAGCACCTATTCCCATAGATGTTTGTTTGAGAGGATGCTGCCCTTGAGGGTGCATTAGGGCGTGGACACCACCCATCTTGCTCATTGCTAGTTGTCGCTCATAGGCCAACAAGTCAGTGGCTGAAAGACCTGGCAAAGGTGCTGGTGCAGGTGGGGGAAGTGGGGTAGAACTCGTTCCAGGAGGAGTGGGCTTGCTACCCCAAGAGCACTAAAAGCATAAAAAGACAGAGCAAGTCAAGCTAAAACATACTATCACACAATTCAATTCATCAAAGCAAGTAAAGGCAAAGTCAAATACTAAAATGTGTAGTAATTATAGGAGCTCCACACAGCTGAGTATTTCTCCATCTCACTCAAATGCTATTTCCAATTAAGTACAAGAGGGGAAAAATAGAATGCTAAGCTTGTGACCACAACGCTCAATTCTACAATGTTTACCATGAGCACTCTTGGGCTAAACATGGTCTCTAAAAAAAAGTGATGCTTGCAATTTGTGTGTGTGTGTGTGTGAGAGAGAGAGAGAGAGAGAGTTATATGCTTCATTAACACATCATTCCCAATAGAATATCCAGAACCATTTTTGTTTGGCTTTCTTTCAAGTGAATGGCCGGGGGGTTGATAGTTTTTCTTTTCTGTTTTCTCATTGCAGGGGAGGGGTGTTAGAAAGAATAGTTAAAAGATAACACTCTTTCAGTAATGCTCTTCAATGTTTTTTGACTGATACCAGTTTGCATGCATACAAATAGACAAAACAGCCTATGTGATTCTAATGATCCAGCTACTGATAGCTTGTAGTCTGCTAGGATATTACCTATCCATTCCCATACCAAACTAGTCTCCACAAAGTCTAAACCAGTGGAAAAATCACAGGTGGAGTTTGTAAACCAAGAAATATCTACCCCAATGGGCTTAGACTCTCAAGTTAAATTGAAAAACTAGCCAACTACCACAAAGAAATCAAAATTGCAAACTGCAACATCTTTTCACAGAAAAACTCGAAACAGACGCTACCAATGAGCACAAAGGCATACCTTTATCTGCCTGCCACAAAGAATTGACTGAGTATTCCCAATCTGTATAGCCAAAGATGCCTCGGCATGGTTGCTGTATCTAACAAAACCAAATCCTTTGTCACGCTGGATGCGGACTTCCTCAATCACTCCAGCACCAAGACCATGGAAATGGCGATGGAGGTCAACCTGTGTCACCTGTGAATTGCATATACACATTTAAAAGATCTTCCACTTGCCAAAATCTAGAAACTGCAGTGAAACCCTTTTGTAAGTAAAGGATTTAAGAAACCATTATTTACATCAAGAAAAGTACTAGGGAACACTGTGCACTTTCACTCTTCCAAATTGAAATCAAGTAAAAACAACATTGTCACAGTGGAAGTACAGTCAGTTTAGCTCTCCTTCCCAGGGGTTTTATAGTTGCAATTATTTATTTAAATTTGTGGGAAGGAGGGCAGCCCCAGCTACAAAAGGTCTGCAAGCCGGAAAGTCCACCTGACCTCAATTCCTAGAATAGCCATTGCAGTAATAGAACAGAAGAAGAGAGACTGGAAGCTATTGAAAGAAAGGGGGGAAGAGACAAAAAAAAACAACTACTAGCAGAAGGATGGTTTCTTGCCTCTGGTGCAAGATTGCCCACATATACAGTAGTGTACTGTGGGTTGTTCTCAGGAGCATCACTACTTGCCACCTCTTTACCATCTGCTATAAAGCACAGCCAAATCAAATGTAAGCACAACGAACCTTCTTAGATAACATGCTATTCCCATTCATAGAAACACACCCCAACAATAATTGTCAGTGCAAATAAAGGAACCCATCAGAACTTCCAGCAGTTTAATTCTTAAGTTCATTTACATGTTCCCATTTTAATTAATTAAAAAATCTAAAGATTCTAAACTGCTTTAACTACATATTGATTCAATAAGCTTGTTATAATTTTGTCAGAAAAGTTACAAACCTCTCTTGCAAAAACAATTCTAATTAGAATCATCCAAGATGATTTTGAATATATCATTTCACTAGTTCTTAACATTTATGTTTCTTACCCTCTACAAAGTTACTCACCTGAAGAGCCATTTGTTAGTTCCGCAACACTTTTGGCATCTAAGCTCTGCTTGTCATCACTGGCACCAGCACCTTTTGCAGCCCAGTTACAACGTATCTGTCTACTGCCAAGCCATTTTCCTACAAAATGAAGCCACAGCAAGTGCAAATCATTCTCAAAGCTCCACAATTGTAATAGATGGCACATCGAATATTTTATCTTCTGCAATTTGTTGACAATCGATTAATAGTTTAATAAGATTTCATGCCATCATATTGAAACCACCATGTCAAGGAAATATAGGAAACATATAGAATAGTTTCACATCATTCTTACCAGTTGAGTCATTTATTGCACTTTGAGCATCCTGGACAGAGATTGCAAGGTCAAAAACCAAAAGAGAGAGAGAGAGAGAGCGAGATTAAAATGTTGAAGTGAAATTCAAATTAGAAAGCAATACCTGTTGATTCCTGAAAGAAACAAATCCAAACCCTCTTGAACGACCAGTCTTCTGATCCCACATAACCCTTGCATCACTGACACCAGAACAACAGATTAACTTAGCACTTCTCATTTTGATAGCAAACAAAAAATAGAAAGCATAATTCAACAACTATTTGAGGTTGGCTAGCAAACAAATACAGCATTTTATAAGACTATAATAACCTTGCTTAAATATCTTTCACAGGGAGAGAGAGGGACTTACGAACAACTGGGATAAACAGAGAAGCATGCAAATAACATTGCATCAGTAACCTCAGGGCTGAGATCACCAACAAAAATGTTGAAGTGACCTGCAAATCATGATAGCAATATCATAATATACAATTACAGAGCATCTCTTACATGTTGCTTCTGTTTTATGTTAAAGTGATTCAGAATAACAAGCATCCGGACATTAGAATAGACTTACTTGATGTGTCCTCTCTCTGGCCACTAGCATATGCCCAATTAACTTTTATAGGCTGCCCAAACCTGCCAAATACAAAAATAAAAATAGAAGAGCGGAATCAAGAGAATAATGACACAGAATATCCCAAAAATTCTTCTTACAGATGCCTTCCATTGAGAGAAAAAATAGCAAGTGAAGCTGATCTGCGATCAAAGTAATGAATAAATCCATAGGAAGACTGCATAAAGAAGAAACAACAGGAATGTCAACAAGAATAACAATTCAAGCAGCCAGCGTTAAAGAAGAAGATGAGAACCTGAATATGAAATCCAGAAATGCAGAAAACATAAGCATATCAGAATGAAAATACCTTCTCCTTTCTAATGAGCTTGCAGCTTTCAACAGGACCTGTACTTGCGAAAACCTCTTGAAGAAGTGGTTCTGTCACCTGTGTATGAATGTTTCCCACGTACCTGCATTTTCTCAGAAATAAAGAAACTAGAAGTTTTAAAAAAAGAAAACAAGGAAAAAATAAATTTAGCTATAAGAATCTCCCCCAGTTATCAAAGCATTCAATAAGAACTTACTAATTATCACGTAATTCAGTATGACTGACAACTAGCAGGTATTGTAATATGCAGATAAAAAGGAACAAATGAAGAAAAAGACAAATCAGAAATTGAATAGGTGATAGAACTTGTGTGATTGTGATAAACATGTGAAAGATGCAGCAACCATGCAAAAAGAAGAAAAGAACAAAAAAATAACTAAAAAAATGTCCAAACAACACTCACACACTGCGGCATGTACTTGGATCAAACCCAGGAGGCAGATTTCCACTTGGGATTGGCTCAATCTGCAAAATAAAAAAGTGAAAAAAGAAAGAAAAAATAAAATTAAGGGAAAACCCCCTACTTTCTCTCCGACATCTACCAAAATGAAACTCAAGACAAAAGCAAGAAGTAAATCCAAACTAAGCAAAGGAAAATTAAAGTTCTCTCACACAACCAACAAAGAGGACTAATTTCCCGCATTCCTGACATGACTTCAGATATTGGTCTGAATGCTCATTTTGCTATTTCTTAGGGGCACTTTCTCATTTGTCCAAAACCAAATAAAATATATATTCAGCACAAAGGAACAAAACCACAGGATACTGGGCACCGAATGTGCTTTGGTTACTCAAAGCCATCGAGTGTATTAAGACAAGTGTCAAAAAAAACAGATAAAGGGTGAGTTACTTTTTAATTCCTTATGGTTTGAGCCAATAACACTTTATCACCCTGTATTTTGAATACCCACCCTACACTCCCCCCTAAAATTTAGGAGTAAATGCAAGAACTAATGGAGATAAAAAAAAATTAGGGTAAAAAATAGAACTCTTAGGATTTTTAAAATTTCGGTGTTTTCTTCCAAAAAATATTTTTATTAACTGAAAAATACAACTAAACCCAACAGAGCGTTATCCCAACGTTTCCAGGGTCAGTTATTAATTGAAATATCATGTTAAGAACAAAGAAGACAACTAAAGAGACTACTTAAATTTGAGAAAACGGAAAAGAAAAAGTATAATTATTTAGGAGGATTTGATAATGATTTTGACATGCTATTCTACGAAGAAAAAAAAAATGAATTTACACTTTTGATAGTCAATTGTAAAGGAAATACTAACATTTGCCCTTGGAAAGCAGCCAAACATAAAGACGCACTTAGTATCCCAAGTTTATATACGCTAACAAGCAAAACACACCAGCTATAAACGAGGATTAACTTCAGATCAAGTAGCAAGCAAAATGGCACACAATTCGCAGTCCCCAAAAAGAGCATCATTAGAACCAGACAGACAACAAACAGAAAGGGCCGACCGATTTTCATTAGAATCAGGCTTCAATATACCCCCCCCCCCCCAAATTCCCACTTCCTCAGTAAAACAACAAGTAGATCAAAAAAATCACAAAAAGAAAACTTCTGCGAAATTCAAAACAGAACAAATTGAAACCCTAACCTTTCGGAAACTCAAAATTCCCTAAATAATCACGACACAATGATAAATCAGAGAATATCAATACCCTAAAATCGCAGTCTCATCAACCAACAAACAGCTACACATTCAAATACAAATACAAATACGAAGACTTAGAAATTAAATGAAAAAAAAAATTTGTCGAACCTGAGGAGGAGCTAAGAGGCCAGGATGGTAGAGAGACTGTTGTTGGAGGAGGGCCGCTTGTTGCATCAAGGCCTGCTGTTGTTGTTGTTGTTGCTTCAGCCTCTGATGCTGCATTTTTATCAACTGATTCTCCGAGAGATCGATAAATATTGGATTTGAAATTATTGGCGTTTAAAGAACGGTAGGGTTTCGAGAGTGGGAGAGAGGGAAAACAGAAAAAAGGGGGAAAAAATGAGAACCTGACGAGAGGCCTCTCCTCTAAAAGGGGGGAAGATTAATTGGTCTGGCCATGCTATTTATCTTATCTCTCGAGTTTTTTTTTTTACCGACACTTGAATTTCTCGTGTATGAACACCAATCAGAGGATGCCACGTGTGACACGACATTTCAATAGCAAGGGTATGAAGTTGGGGAAAATAAATGTTATCTAACCTAAATAAAATTTAAAAATTTAATTTTAATATATATTATTATTTAAATGAATAGATCTCACTAAAAAAATTGATGGGATTCATTTATCTAATAGATAATACGCATTTAGATTTTTATTTTTTGAATTTCATTTAAATTTTATAACATTACTTATAAACTATAGTGAAATCACAAAAGCACAATAAAATCTAAAATATTTGAGAGTGAGAGTGCCTTGAGAACATTATATTATATACATTAAAACAAATATTCACCCATAAAATTAATAAGATTTAATGATGCACAAAAGTAACTGTGTGCAAAATTAATCGTGGATGAAGGAAACAAGTCTTAACATAAGAAAACATAAAGATTAGGTAATTCGCTTTAGATGATCGACTCTAATGAAAATGACGACGGTTGTTAGAGAATCTTATTAATTAAGAGGTGAATATGTTGAAAAGTGTGTAATGCCCTATATATAAGTGAAGTTTACAATTTATAAGCAAACGGAGTTGGCCTCGAAGGGCTCTAATTGATATATTATCCTCACAAAGAGCAGAGTAATGTCATGAGTCTCGCCTTATCCTTGTAATGGATGACATGATAGAGGAGTGATCATTTGAAGATCACTCCACTTTGTAACGAGTAAGATAATCTTGCGGGGCTGGCGATATGTTCCTGATGACAATGTGTCCATGATTTATTCTCCTCGGATGGAGACTTCCACGTGCATTGATGATGGATTGGGCCTCTCGTGAAAGTGGACTTGCCCACGTATCAATTATGATTGAGTTTCTATTGCTCTGGATCTATAATTTGGGTCTAGTTTATATGTGTAATTTGGGCTTGGTTTGTATCTATAATCTGGGATTGGTTTGGGCCGGGTTCGTCAAAATTAAAATATAAAAAATTAAATTTCATACACAAATAAACAAAAATTTATTTAATTTTTAAATATATATTAATTATAGACTAATGCTATATGGACCTTATTTGAGGATCTAATAATGTGGCTTCAATGGAATAACTGAATTAGTTTGTGAGTTCTAATGTTAGATGAAGTCTACTACTAATCTAATAGTTGTACATCATTAAATCTCTAAATTAGGTCTAAATAACATTTTCCTTAATTATAAGGTCCTGAAATATCAGTTAAAGGTTACAAAAATTATTCTAGATTGATATGCATCTTTAAGTATATATATACTACTAATAAAAGTATCTTAACATTAAAAACTTTTAATTCACTATTTTACTCTTATAAAAAATTTTAAATACCACATTATCTTTCCATAGTTAAATAATTAAATTACCATTATATTCTTATGTGTTTAAATTTCAAATTGCTCATAACATTTCTTTTAATTCTCTATTATCTATGTATAAATATCAATATCAATAAAAAAAATTTAATTGATTATGTTATCTTTAAAAAATAAGCATTGATTAGAATATTGATAATTATTGTTATTTTATTTATTGAATTATAAGTTGAAACCTAATCAAATGAATTATTTTTATCTTTGTTTCTTATAGTTAGAACAACGAATTGTTGTGAATAAACAAAATTTTTCGAATTCTATAGTAGAATACGAGCGATAAAAATGTATAAATTTGAGATGATATTTATAAATATATATATATATATATATATATATATATATATATATATATATATATATATATATACCTATAATTTTTATTAATATTTTATGTATAAAAATTATTTACATGTAACACACATAATTCATTGCTAGTAAATAAATAAAACCGTGAATTCGCAAGTTTTATAAGATGAAAGCGTCAATTCACAAAAAATTCAAAACGCGTATACGCGCAGAGCACCAGAGACTCTTTCGAAATATTATGTTCCAAAGAGAATGAACCCTGTTTTGGTACCTAGGGCCCAATTTATAATGAATCAGCTACGGCTTTACGGATGGCTTTTATCTTTTCTGCTTTTCTTTGTTGGGCCTGGCCTTATCCAATTCCTGGCCTCTTACACAAGTCTAAGAATACGCCCCCAAAACGGATTCCTCTACCAGTGGAATGTAAGCATTTCAGTGCTAGTCTAATCCATCAGTCTTGACACTCAACAGAAAATTTTATAAAGTTAAACCATGCAAAGAAAAATTTTAATCGATCTCTCTTTCGTTTAAATTCTTGTTGTCACAGTTATGTCAAATCATCGCATTATTTAAAAAACTAAATAGTTTATTATTGAACAATAACATGTGTTTCATGCAGACGATCAGAGTGAGTGTTATTAGAATATATTGGATCATATCAGATCCCTTTTGCCAGTATGGTAACTATTTAGATGGTAAAATCATGTGTCGATGATGATATAATTAAACCATTGTATTTAATATTTTCTGTTTGCATATAGAATGCATGAAAATTTTAGGGAACATGTCAAAAATATCAAATTTAAGTTCCAAATTTGGGTTCAAATATGAATTACATGTAAAATAATTTCACATTCAAATCAGTTATCATGACACAATAAAACCCAACATTCGATTTCAATTGGAGAATAAACAATATAGATTCTGTATTATGTGGGAAAATACAAAACCATAGTAAGATATTGAAAGAATTAACACACATTGCATAAAAAATATATTGCCCTAGCGGAGGGGTACAACAACCCATGGATGGTTTCTACTTCTACAATCTACATGCTTTCTTTGTACTAGTCTTAAACATTGCTATTCCATTCCCTTCCTGTTAGCAGCCTCTTCCAACACAATGAGTACATCCATCTTCTACCCCTTTTGGCTACCCAGAACGTAGGTAGGATATTCTTCCAACTTTTCCAGATGGAAAACCAACAACATCCTTGGTTCTTGTTTTGTTTGAATTCCAGAATATAGTTAAATTTGACGAGTGTCAAACCGCTTACAACTGATGGTTTCTCTCTTTTTTTGTGAAACAATTCCCACCTAAAACTGGCCATGACAATGAATGTATCCACAATTAACCAATTGATGGTTCGTCTGTGGAACAGTAACAATTCATGAAAATGTTGAGTTATAATCTGAGCGCAAGTTGTTCCTCATGCTTGGGGGACTCTCTGGATGGATTGTGTACTTGGTATGGTGCTCTGGCAATCGCCCTGAAAAATCATGAGAAGATTGTCAGATCATTCCAATTGAACGAACTGTCACAAATTGATCTCTCTATTATCTCCAAGGAATTATTGAATTTTCTTCCTCTTTTTCACAGTTCATACATAAATCAATTGCCTACCTGTCTTTCTTCCTCTCTAAAAACCGATAAAGTGAAGCCTTTCTTGTCATTGGTAGATCTGAAAAACATAAAAAAGAAACAGAAAGAATAGTTAGTACTATTATAGTTGTTGAGATATATTGATCTTTCTATATATGGAACCATTTATTACAGCCAGGACAGGAGGAATAAGGAAGTAAAATTACCAGAACTTGTAGCTTCAGGATGTGGTTGATGTCGTACTTGTTGGGCAGGAGTAGAACATGTATTCAAGGCAGAAGGCGGCAGAGACTGATCAGACTTAAATTTGTTGGAGTTGCAGGTGGAGGTGGAAACAAAGCCAGTAGTGGGAATGGGATTAGGGGAGTTTGAGCTTCCCAGCTGGTCAGCTAATAGCATGACTTCCCTGGCTTTGTCAGCCGGAAAATCATTGAACACCAATACTTGTCCCGCATAAAACATGGTCATTTGGGCGGATATATGCTCCTTTTTTTCTGGCTTGCTGGTAAAAACAAAAATTCACGTTATTAGAGATATCATATGCCCAGTTACCTATTCTCTTCATATGCACAATAAAATAATGCGTGCATCAGTTTCTCTCCTCTCCTCTCCTCTCCTCTCCTGTCCTGTCGCATGCATATATATATTCCTAAAAAATATGAATGAGACTAGACTCATGAGCGGTGGTGGTGGAAAAGTAACAAACCTAGAAATAGGGTCATTTGTTGCGGTGGCGGTGGCGGTGGCAGTCGTATCCGTAGTACTGGAGGAACCAACCCGGGCATACTGAGGAAGGGAATCCATGAACTTCATCACGTGTTGTGACGCTTGACCCGATTTTTCCATCTTGGTTAATAAGTTAATTGTTGTTGATGTTGTTGTTGCAGTACTTGTACTAGTATCGCCAGATTTCCCTGAAAATTTGTTAAAAATGGAACTCTTTTTACTCATAGACAAGACAGCCAGCATAACTTCAACTTTCTCTCTCCTTCTTTTGGAAAAAGAAATTGGGAAACTTATTAAAAAAAACAACAAAGAGTGTGAATAAATTATACCTGTGGCTTCCAGATTTGCAGTGAATCCGAGATTCAGATCTCCAAGAGAGCGTTTCTCTTTGAAGTACTGACTCAAGAGGTTGCAAGTCTGGGTAAAATTCGACTTCTCCGGCGCCTTACCGGACTTCCTACCGTCCCAATAAGCATTTGGATTTGACATGTTTGTTTTTTGCAAAGCAAAATCGACACACAGTGTTATGAATGAATGAATGAAAGAGTTGGAGGTAGCTCTTGGTTTGGAATCTCCTTTGTATACAGTTTGGAAATGAATGTTAAAAAATAACTGGTAAAGAGCAACGGCAGGAGGGAGAGTAATATATCAAGTATGGTGTATGGAAAACAAAAGACTTTATCAACTCGTTCTTTGATTTCTTTTTCTTAAGAACAGTCGGTGGTATTGGTTTCAGGCACGTGATAATTGCCTCAGAAAATAAAGAAGGAAATTGAGAAGGAAGAACGACGCAGAGGTGGACCCCTTGTATGGTGCGAGAGACGCGTGGTTCATGTTTAATGTCCACCACGGAAATGGTCTTTCATTGGTCCCACTTTTACTAGAATGCCCTTCTTATTGAATTAGTCCAAGGTACACACTCCGCACCTTAAAAACATGGTTTTCACATTCTATTTCTTTCATTTTTTATTTGATTTTAATCAATAGTAAATTAATTACTACTAATATAAATGATACTTATAACTTATAAGTGGACCTCTTACTCCTATATGATGAGAAATTTATTATTGAGTAAAATTAAATAAAAGAATAATTAAGAGAATCTAAATTCAAAAATATGATCTATTTTTATTGTTAATCATCACTCTTTGCAGTTCATTGTGCATAAGCAATGAATTTATTATTGGGAGGTTATTCTACCTAAGAACAAGAATAATTGATCCAAATAATATGTAAATTGAACAACTATCAATAATTAGATATTAATCATCATATTTTATCATTGACCCTAGTTTCTTGAGTTCTATTAAATATAAATCAAATGAATATCTCAATCAATTGTTCATAATTTAAGAATTTTTGTGCATGTCTTTTGATGGTGTTAGAAATCAAGAAGTACGAGGCAAGGAAGTTGAAGAGCTCCCCGACGGAGCAGATGTGCAAACTGTGTAGTGGGTGAGGTGCGTGAGTAAAATGACAATAGAAATTAAGAACATGATAACTTTAATGGTTCACCGGTTAAAAAGATTGATTAATTCATTATAATAGAGTTTTTTACTCCTATGGTTTCTTACTTCTAATGTAAAAAGACAAAAATTTGTCTATTTATACTTGTAGGAAGAGTGGTCCTTAAGTATTGATAGGAGTAATCCCCTAGTTTGTTAAGATATTGGAGAAAAAATTTTTTATCGTTAGAAGCTATATTTCTCTAAATATGACGTAATATTCTAGAAGTTGGTGACATAGCATTGATGATATTATCTTTGGATAGAGTCTGATGTTGTGCTTCTCTCTTTACCTTTCCTCTTCTCGTGTATTGAGCCACTTTAGACTAATTGAACTCATTTGAAAATGGTTAAATTGGTTTCAATTGTGACCGCGATGGATTGACATTTGGACAATCTTGATCTCTTGCATGTAGGTCGGTTACTCTATCCCTTAAGCTAATAATCCTTTTATTATGCTATAGATCTATTTTTCTATGACGTTTTTATTATTGGTATCATCATCTTTCCAAGCGGTTGAGCAGTGGTGTACTTGGAGACCATGTCGTGGATATATGAGGGAGGATTACTGGAGGTGTTCAGTCGAAGTTTCTAGGTTCTTGAGGTTTGAACAATCAGATAACAGTGAATGAATATCAGTAGACAAAAAATTTATAGCGGTTCACCAGCGCGAGAGTTTGGTTAATTCACTCTAATAGAGTTTCTTACTTCTGGGGAGTTATCTTATTAATCGAGAGAGTGATTACACTGAGTAAATATATCATAAATTGTTTGTGTGGTTCATTGTGGGCATTTGACCCTTTTTATAGCCTTAAAATGTCTTATGTGATTGCCTTGCGTAATCCTCACCAGTTTCTCGTAACTGATGATTTCTCTGCATAATCAGAGTTGACGGGGTTTAAGCGGTTGCAATTTATCTGTCAGAATATTGGGCCGCTACAAATTATACTCCCCGGATGTGATGTGGCCTCCCGGAAGATGCCAGTTATTGTTGCCATCGATAACGAGGGAATTGTTGATGAAGATCCCAACCTACACACATCGAGACAGTGGTCATAAGCTACGGAGTACGAACTCAACTTCTGAACTGATTGTATCAGACTAAGTCTTAAATAATTTCAGGTATCATCGATATATATCTATATTACTAATAAATGTCAGTATTTGTAAAAAAATCTTTGATATCTTATTTTATATCTATTTATTATGATAAAATCAATTATACCCACCTATATATTTTCATCTATTTTTTATTTTTTATACTTATATGATTTTTAACTTATTTTGGAGTATGTTATAAAGACTTTTAAATTCTTTTGAACTCATTTATTAGTAGTATAGTTACATATAATTATATATATCTATATGAAGAAATAAAATTATATATATTTTAAATTATTACATACATGTAGTTATCAGGTTGAATTACACAGTCGAATATTTATTATATTTTATTTTTTGGTATGTAATAATATAATAATATTATAAATGATCAAATCAATCTATTTAACCAAATAAAAATTAATAATTTTATAATATAATAAAATGTACAAATGCTTAAAAAAATTGAAAAGATATCTAAATAAATGATTGATTAGATACTCAAAACTTATAGAATAAATTAATAATTAAAATACGAATGAATTATTTTGTGCCTAATTTATTATTTAATTTAAGTACGCATATAATTTTTATTTTAATAAAAATAATATTATTTAATTTATTTACGTGCAAGATAAGTCGTACTAATATATATCACAGTCTTACGTATTTTTTCAAGTCCAATAAATGAAAAGAGACATGTCGGGGTACAATGTAAATTCAGTGGAATATAATGTCTAATTCAATTAATTGTGGTCAAGCGCGGATCGGAGTCGGTAGCCCTGCGCAGGGGACCGTTTACTCTACGTGCCGACAGTGTCCAACTTCGTGGTAGGGTCCACGGCCTTAATAAATAATGCAAAGCAAACGGCCAATTCAGGTTTCGTCTATTCGCCACCGATGCACGACTTCTTCAATATATAAAGTAAAAACCACGTGAAAAATCACCTACCCAACAGCGGACAGTTTAGTCAATGCACCATTGCATGTGGACATCAATTTTAATATTAAACTGATTAAAAAAATAAAATAAAAAGCAGAGACTTGGAAAGTCTTTACCGAGCAAGTTTTATAATTAGTGTGAGTTGGTCATGAATGAACTCAAGCTCACATACATTTCACGTGGCTGGCTAGCTGTTTTCCTTTTTCTTTTATTTTTTTTTTCACTTGGAATTTTGGAAACATATGTTACATGTAATTGATAATCAAAATTTTGTTTTGAAACGATCAAAATATCTAAAATATTTTTATTTTTAAAAAATTAAAATAAATTAATAATAAAATTAAAATTATAATAATTCGAGATATTTGATAATGATTCGAGATATGTTGTAATATTTTAATATATTTGTATAATTATTTCAGAATATTTTAAAATATTTTGATACATTTCGATTAATATTTTAAAAAAATAATTTTTAAATTATTTATTTATTTTATTTTATTTTTAAAACACATCAAAATATTTTTATTTTTTCAAAGTCTAAAACAACGCATATAAACAAAATTTTATCCTTCCATACAATGCAATGTATGTAGCTACAACCTCTTCCTTCTCTTTGATTTATTCATACACCTGTCGGCCCCGTCTCCCTTCGCGCCGTGTTTTTATTTTTCTGCATAGCTCGAGTTGACCGGAGAATCCTACACCGTTGTCGTTCCTTCTCTCACTCTCTCTCTCTCTCTCTCTCCCTCTCCTATTTAATTTTTTTATGAGAGAATTATACTTTACCCCTCAAAAATTCTTTAAAATTTTAATTTACACTCTCAAACAAATAATTTATTTACATTGCACAGTCAATATCATAAAATGTGTGCGTGCACGATCCTACACAATATAAACACGAGAACAAATCTCTTCCGTGGTGAACACGAGTCCATCAATCGAATGATCGATCTTGCTACTTATAACAGATTGTGAGGGCCAAAAGTGGCCAATGAAGTGATGACGAATTGTTTTCAGGGGTCGCCTGAGTGATCCTGGAAGGCTAAGGGAGGTTCTTGGAATAAAGAAAAACAGGTTAGAAGGGTGCTAGAGTGTTTTTTTGGCGTATTCCCTCTGACGATCAAGTCAGTTCCTTGAGAGAGGAGAAGAAAAAAATATTGTATGATGCTTGAGAAAGGATTTTTTGCGTACCCTTTTTATGTGTTTGTGAGGACTATTTATATCTTAAAAACTCATCATTGCTGACAGTGTAGCTAGTAGGTAATCATTGGAGGTAGGCAGTGTGCACACCAATTTCTATGAGTAATGTTCTTATTCTTAACTGCTCGGGACCCTGAACAACTAATATTTTCTCCTCGGTCTGCCGAACGTTTAATGACCTTCCCTCAACGGGGGTGTATTAAATGCCCAGGGTTTGGGACATTTATTACCTTTCACTTCCAGGCTCTCATGCATTAAACGTTGTTTCATTAAGGGAAGAGTGCATTAAATACTTACTTTCCCAAGTCGTGTGTCAGCAAGGGCATTCTGGTCTTTGTCCCTGATCTGACACAATACGCCACGTGTTTATTCCCCTTTGGTTGAGCCTTCTGCTTTCTTGTGCCTTCTGATACCATTTGAGTAAGACGAGGTCATTATAGCTAGTCTAGCCCAGGCTAGACTAGTGATCCGTCTATCAATAGCCCTGCAGGAGTAGAAATGCTTCGTAGACGGATATACCTCGGTGCCGAGGGTCCAGTGTCGCTAGGGGCCGATGTACCCCAAACTGACCGAGGGATACATGTTGGTCTACGAGATACTGGGGATCCTTGATCCCTGTGAATTGTATCTCGGGAAGGGGGATTATGGACCGACGCGCACGTGTCGTGATCAGATCGGCGAGTATCCATTGACGTCGAGGACACGTGTCGTCATCTTGGAGTATCTGAAAAATGTCCCATCAACTGCTCCCAGCCTTTGATCTACTGACACCGAGGACACGCATCGTAAGAAGACGAAGGGTTCTACAACTGTCCCAATCACCCCATCATTGCTTCCAGCCATTTTTCGCTGCTTAGGAGGTCTTGCGCATTAAATGCGTTCCTTTGTGCTTCGTGCCCAATGATG